TGCGTTTGCGTCAAGTCAGCTGTCGGCCCCCTGCTCGTGTCGCTCTCTGGCCCACAAGACCGTCCTCTGGCACCACCGACTTGGTCATCCGTCTGTGGAGTGCCTTCGGGCCAAGCACAAACGGTACCTTGTCTCTGGTCTTCCCAGGGTTCTCCCTCCCCTCCCACCCTCGCCTGCTCCTCCCTGTCTTCCCTGTGTCGAGGGGCAGCCGTGTGCCACTCCTCACTCCTCCTCGTTTCCCCCGACGACTGCTCCCTTGCAGACGCTCCACATGGACGTGTGGGGCCCAGCTCGCGTCCGTGGTCAGGGTCAGGAGAGGTCCTTCATGATAGTTGTTGACGACTACTCGCGCTACACCACGGTCTTCCCCTTGCGCACCAAGGGTGAGGTCCCTGATGTTTTGATCCCTTGGATCCGCGCTTCTCGTCTCCAGCTCAGCGAGCGTTTCCACTCGGACTTTCCTGTCCTGCGCTTGCACTCTGACAGAGGTGGTGAGTTCTCCTCCGACCTCTTGGCAGCCTACCGTGCGGAGCACGGCATCCGCCAGTCGTTCACGCTTCCGGCCACTCCACAGCGGAATGGGGTTGCTGAGGGCCGCATTGGCTTGGTCATGGAGATCGCTCGTACCTCCTTGATTCATGCGGCTCCCCCCCACTTTCTGTGGCCGTTTGCGGTCCGATACGCTGCGCATCACCTCAACCTCTGGCCCCGTGTCTCCTTGCCGGAGACCTCGCCCACACTGCTGTAGATGGGGAAGGTTGGCGATGCGTCGCGTTTCGGGTCTTGGGATCTCGAGCTTTTGTTCGCGATACGTCCGCGGACAAGCTCTCCTCCCGCGATGTTCCTTGTGTCTTCCTTGGCTTTGTCCCGGACGCGTCTGGTTGGCAGTTTTACCACGCCGCCCCACGCCGTGTGCTGCCCTCTTAGGATGTCACTTTTGATGAGTCTGTGCCCTACTACCACCTCTTCCCCTACCGCACTGCCCCGCTCCCCCCCCCCCCCCCCCCCCCCTCGCCTCTCTTCCTCGCGCCAGGTGCTGTTGTGGTAGACCCCCTCCCCCCTCAGGGTGCGGCTCCCTCAGGTGTGTCCCATGTAGACCCGGTTGAGCCTGTCGATATAGCTGTCGACTCTGGTCCTGCTATGGGTGCTGAGCCTGAGCGTGCGGAGCCTGGGGTTGCGGAGTCTGGGGGTGCTGAGTCTGGGGTGCTGAGCCTGGGGGTGCGGAGCCTGCGGGTGCTGAGTCTGGAGGTGCTGAGCCTGGGGGTGCGGAGCCTGCGGGTGCTGAGTCTGGAGGTGCTGGGCCTGGGAGTGCTACACCTGAAGGAGGTCTCTTCTCACAGCAGCTACGTGAGTGGTACTTCAAGAAAGGTGCTTCTGGAACTAGGAGTGCTGCTGGAGTTGGGGCTGGTGCTTCCCCTCCTAGGCGGGAGCTGCCCTCTCCCCAACGGCTTCGGGAGTGGTACGCACGGCGCTGCAGTCTCAGGGGTGGGGCTCCTTGTGCTGCGGACCCGGGCGTTGGAGCTGCTGCTGGTCCTGCTGACCCTGGCGTTGGAGTTGCTACTGGTGCTCCGGACCCGGGCGTAGGAGCTGCTACTGCTGCTGCGGACCCGGGCGTTGGAGCTGCTGCTGGTGCTGCGGACCCGAGCGTTGGCGCTGCTGCTGGTGCTGCTGACCCTGGAGCTGGAGCTGCTACTGGTGCTGAGGACCCAGGCGTTGTATCTGCTGCTGGTGCTGCGGACTCGGGTGTTGGTGCTGCTGCTGGTCCTGCTGTCCGTGGAGTTAGAGCTGCTTCTGGTGCTGATGAACCGGGCGTTGGAGCTGCTGCTGGTGCTGCGGACCCGGGTGTTGGTGCTGCTGCTGGTGCTGTGGACCCTGGCGCTAGTGTCTCTTGGCTCTGGCGACATTGCACGGCCGCGGCCGTACTTTGTTCCACTCCTTCAGCAGGTTCTTCGTCAGCCTCCTCCTCGTCCTCCTCCTCCCTCCTTAGAGTGTTCTCCGCCTGTCCAGTCGCAGTCATAGCTGCACCCTGCCTCGCCCCTTCCTGGTCTTCCTCCCTACACTGGTCCGACAGGCGGTCTTACAGAGTGTCGTGAGCCAGAGTCTCGTCCTATGTTGCCAGTGTCTCGTCCTGCGTCACCTGTTCGTGCTGCTCACACTAGTAGCCATGTTCCGCGTGCGCGCCCTCCTGCTGTCCCCGACACACACTATATGACTCTGCGTCCTTCCACTGCTCCCCATCATGTCCCTTTCCTGTCTCCTGGCTACTGTTGTCACTGACCCTTCCTTTGAGTCCGCTGCTGCGTCTGCCTTAGTTGCTGAGCTTGTTGACTTCGCTGCCATGTGTCGTCTAGATTACGCCGCTAGCCTAGTTGCTGAGTCTGAGTCTCTCTGTCCTCTGTCCGTCGGGGGTGAGTGTGCTCTTGGCATGGACTTTCTTGAGGACAAGCAGGAGGAGTTTGAGTGCTTCGCCGCTGCTTTACCTCATCTCGTGTCCATGCTAGTTGCCCCTGAGGGAGATCCGGATGCACCAGACATCCCGACTCCTCGATCGTACGCTGAGGCGATCAAGAGTCCCTACTCCTCTCAGTGGCACTCAGCCATGGACGCAGAGATGGCTTCCTGGAAGTCCACAGGTTCCTACGTTGATGAGGTTCCCCCACCTGGGGCGAACATCGTCAGTGGTACGTGGATTTTCAGGGTGAAGCGGCCGCCGGGTTCTCCGCCTGTCTTCAAGGCGCGTTACGTTGCACGAGGCTTCAGTCAGCAAGAGGGAGTGGACTTCTTCCAGACCTTCTCCCCGACCCCGAAGATGACCACTCTTCGGGTTCTGCTGCACATCGCCGCTCAGCGTGATTACGAGCTCCACTCTCTTGACTTCAGCACTGCTTTCTACGGGGCAGCCTGCACGAGGAGATCTGGCTGCACCGCCCTCTTGGCTTCACTGGGTCGTTCCCTCCTGGTACCGAGTGGATCCTCCGGTGGCCAGTCTACGGTCTCGGACAAGCACCGCGTGAGTGGCACGACACACTGAGGACTACACTTGCGGCTCTTGGGTTCGCTCCCTCTATTGCTGACCCGTCGCTGTTTCTACGCACCAACACTTCGCTGCCGCCGTTCTACATCCTTGTGTACGTCGACGACTTGGTCTTTGCCACTGCTTACACTGCGGCACTCGCCCACATGAAGTCCAAGCTCCAGAAGAGACACACGTGCACAGACCTGGGTGAGGTGACAAGCAATCTTGGCTTGCAGATCACCCGGGATAGAGCACGGCACACCATCACTTTGACTTAGTCATACATGGTGCAGCAGGTCCTTCAGCGCTTCGGCTTCACGTACTCCTCGCCTCAGTCCACTCCTCTGCCTACTCGCCACTCGCTCTCAGCTCTGCCTTCAGATGAGTCCGTAGAGCCGAGTGGCCCGTATCCGGAGCTTGTGGGCTGCCTCATGTACCTGATGACCTGCACTCGACCTGACCTTGCATACTCTCTTAGCATCCTTGCACGCTATGTAGCTCCTGGCCGTCACCTGAAGGAGCACATGGATGCTGCTAAGAGAGTGTTGCGCTACCTCTGTAGTACGTCGGGCATGGGGCTAGTGCTTGGAGGACGAGACCGAGTTGTACTCACTGGGCACTCTGACGCTTCTTGGGCTGACGACCTGGCTACTCAGCGGTTGTCACAGGGGTACACCTTCAGCCTTGGCTCTGGTTCAGTTTCTTGGCGTTCTACTCGTTCTTCTTCTGTTCTCAGCTCCAGTTGTGAGGCTGAGATCTACGCTATAGCCATGGCTGCACAGGAGTTACGCTGGCTCACCTACCTGCTGACCGACCTGAAGAGTGGCCTAGTTCTCCCCCAGTCCTGTATGTCGACAACAAGGCTATTATTGCCTTCTGTGAGGAGCACAGACTCGAGCATAGAACGAAGCATAGCGCTCTGCGGTACTTCCTTGCTCAAGAGCTGGAGGAGCGTGGTCAGCTTTGTCTGCGTTACGTGGCCACTTGGGCCAACACTGCTGATGTGTTCACCAAGGCGCTTCAGTCTTGTCACCATCAGCGTTTCTGTACTGTTCTAGGCCTTGTGCCTACTTTTCCTCACTTGCTTACTTCTTCACTCTGCTTGTACTGTGATCTCTATATATATATCTGCATGCTTAAACTTGTTAGGCTGTGATCACTGTATCTCTTGATATATTATCAAGCTGCATGTGAACTGGTCTTGTGACCGCTTACTTGTGCTTGGAATTTGTGTGGTATCCTTGAGATCCACCCTGAGCTTGTTTTGCCTCGCTTTGCTTTGACTGGTTTTGTGACCACTTGCTCTCCCCCACTTCGCCTATAGGGGTGTGTCAAACATTATTTATGTTGTAGTTGTTTAGGCTACAGTGGGTTAGCCTTTAGGGGGTACTCAATTCTAGGTTTAGGTACTTGTACTCACTTCTCTCTCAGTTCAATCATTCATTCTCTAACACTCCCTATTCGATCTCACCTCTGGTGCCTCTCTTGCCCCGCCTGCTACTGCTGACAGCACTGTTCGTTCAAATGGGCCACACGCGATGCTGCTGCCCGTCTTGCTATGCGTCGCCACTAACCGACCACTGAGTGTGCACACTTTAGCCTGCACAAGAGTGCTAAGACCTTGTACGACGCTGTAGTTGAACGCTACTCTTTCCTGCCATTGCTGCGCTGAGCCGCCTCATGCTGCCGTACGTGTTCCCAGACCTTGCTGCCTTTCCCACAATCTGTGACCCCATTACGCACCTTCGCACTAGTGACACTCGCTATCGCGCTGCGCTTCGTGCTGGGTTCTGTGCCAAGAACCCCCCCCCCCCCCCCCCCCCCATGTACATCACCCTCTACTACATAGTCACCCGGCTCCCTGACTCCCTTCGCTTAGTCAGGGACCACTTCCTCTCAGTTTGCCCCACCACACTCACCGTTGATCTCCTCGAGGAGCGCCTCCTAGCAGCATCGAAGAGCATAGTCGCTGTAGGAGCCTCTCATGGTGACCCTCGCACCCCCGTCTTTGTGGGGTGTTCCCCTTCCCCCCTCTTGCCCTCTATTGCTTGTACTGCTGCAGCCGACCTCGTTGGTTTCGAGTCGGTCGGCGCTGCGTCTACCCCTAGCAGGAGACGCCGCACCGGCAAGGGCAAGGTGGGCAAGGGCGCAGGAGGGGCTGGCGGGGGCAGTGGAGGTGGTGGTGGAGGCAGTGGAGGGGGTGGGGGTGGTGGTGGGAGTGGTCGTGGGGGTGGAGGTATCGGTGGCAGCAGTGGAGGCGGAGGAGGCGGCGGCGGTGGCGGAGGGAGCGGAGGCAGCGGAGGGAGCGGAGGCGGCGGAGGTGGCGGAGGCGGCGGAGGTGGCGGAGGCAGCGGCGGCAGCGGTAGAGCTGGCCGCGGCTCTGCGCAGAGGAGTGGGTCCAGTGGTGGTCCGCGCCAGCAGCACCAGCGCAATCGTGAGGCCCTCTCCCCTCAGCAGCTTTGTGAGTGGTACGCTGGGCGACAGCGCGGTGGGGGTACTGGTCCTTGCACCTACGTCCTCCGTACGGGCGACCGCGCTGGTGAGCAGTGCGGGGGCCCGCACTCCACCCAGCGCTGCTTCGGCCGCCTGACGGACGCGTGGCGTCACCAGTTCCCTGACGCCGCTGAGATCCCTCCCTGGGGTGAGCTGTCGAGGGCGGGGGTTGCTATCTTTGATCTTGATTATGACGCTAGTCTTGCTGCCATGTATGCTTTGTCTGATAGTGTTGAGGGTGACTGTTACCTGTGTGTTCCGCCTTACATGGGCATTGAGGCTGCTGCTGTAGGTGCTGGTGAGGCTGCTGCTCTAGGTGCTAGTGCGTCTGCTGCACCAGGTGCTGGTGAGTCTGCTTTCTCAGGTACCACGCCGGCTCAGGCCTTACACACCTTCACCCTTGACTCGGGTGCTTCCAGCTCCTTCTTTCGAGTCCGCACCACGCTTACGCCACTTAGTCGGCCGGTTGCGGTCTCCCTGGCGGACCCCTCTAGGGGTTTTGTCCTTGCTAGCTTCTCCACTGTCTTACCGTGCCCGGCAGCCCCCTCTAGCACCCTGTCAGGTCTCTACCTCCCCTCGTTCTCTACGAACGTGGTGAGTGGAGCTGACCTAAACGATAGGGTGGTCAACCAGTTCACTCTCTACATGGACGTGTGGGGCCCCGCCCGCATCCGTGGACAGGGGCACGAGCGTTACTTCCTGTTGGTGGTTGACGACTATTCGCATTACACCACGGTCTTCCCCTTGCCTAGCAAGGGTGACGTCACTGAGGTGTTGATTGACTGGATCCGCGCAGCTCGTCTCCAGCTCAGAGACAGTTTCGGCTCGGACTTTCCTGTTTTGCGTCTCCACTCTGACAGAGGCGGGGAGTTTTCCTCTGCCCGTCTGGGAGCCTTCTGTCGTGCACAGGGCATCCGCCAGACCTTCACGCTTCCGACCTCTCCACATCAACATGGGATTGCTAAGCGCCGCATTGGCATGCTCATGGACGTCGCTCGTACATCCATGATCCATGCGGCTGCTCCCCATTTTTTGTGGCCGTTTGCGGTTCAGTACGTAGCGCATCAGCTCAACCTTCAGCCCTGAGTCTCCTTGGCGACACGTTTGGGTTTCAGGTTTGGGGATCTCGGGCGTCTGTCCGCTACTTGTCCCCCCGTGCTGTTCCCTGCGTCTTCCTTGGCTTCCCCCCTGACGCGCCTGGTTGGCAGTTTTACCACCCGACCTCGTGTCGTGTTCTGTCCTCCCAAGACGTCACCTTTGACGAGTCGGTACATTACTACCGTCTCTTCCCTTAGCGCACTGCGCCCTTCCCCCCGCCGCCGCTCTTCCTTGCGCCAGGTCTTCCCCGGATAGACCCCCTTCCCCCTCAGGGTCCTGCCCCGTCAGGTGAGTCCCAGGTATACAGAATCGAGCCTGTCGAGGTAGCTGTTGACTCTGGTGCTGTTGGAGGTGCTGAGCCTGCGGGTGCTGAGTCTAGGGGTGCTGTGTCTGGAGGTGCTGAGCGTGGGGGTGCTGAGTCTGGGGGTGCAGAGCCTGGGGGTGCGGAGCCTGGGGGTGAGGAGCGTGGGGGTGCTGGGTCTGCTCGTGTGGCCGCCGGCGGTGCTTCGTTGATGCGGGAGCTGCTCTCTGCACAGGAGCTGCGTGAGTGGTTTGCGCGGCGCTGAAGCCGTGCTGCTGGAGCTGGAGGAACTACTATTATTGCTGGTCCCGGATGTGCTTGTACTGGCGGTACTGGAGCTGCTCGGACTGGGGGTGCTGCTAGGGCTGCTGGAGATGCTCCTGCTGGAGGTACAGCAGGAGCTGCTGGCAGTACTGGGGCTGCTGGTCCTACTGGAGTTGGTGCTGCTGGAGCTATTGGTGCTACCGGAGCTGGAGCTGCTGGGGGTGTTGGCGCTGGTGGTTCTGCTGGCGCTAGAGCGTCCGAGGGTGCTGGAGGTGGCGCTGTTGGAGCTGGAGGTGCCGCTGGCGCTCGTGTTGCCGCTGGGGGTACTGGTGCTGTCCCTACTGGTTCTGTAGGCACAACTCGGCCGCGGCCGTACTTTGTTCCGCTCCTTGAGCAGGTTCTTGGTCTCCCGCCCTCTCCTGGTCCTGCTCCTGCCTTAGAGTATCCACAGCCTGTCCAATCGCAGTTACAGTTACAGCCCGCCTCCCCCCTACCTGCTCCATCTCCCTATACTGGTCCTTGTGGAGGTCTTGCTGAGCGTCGTGAGCCTGCGTCTCGTCCTGCGTCGCTTGTTCATGCAGCTCGCACTAGTCGTCGTGTTCCGCGTCCGCGTCCTCCTGCTGTCTGAGGCACACACCAGATGGCATTGCGTCCTTCCACTACTCCTCTGCGTGTCCCGTTGTCGTCTCCTCCAGAGTCCTCTCTTCGTGTTCTTGCTAACCCTAAGTCTGACTCTCTTCGTGCTGCCAGTCCTACTGTCACGCATCTCCTGGCTACTGTTGTCACTGACCCTTCCTTTCAGTCCACTCCTGCGTCGGCCCTAGTTACTGAGCTTGTCGACTTTGCTGCTCGCTGTCGTCTAGACTACGCCGCTAGTCTTGTTGCTGAGTCTGAGTCTCTCTGTCCTCCGTCCATCAAGGTGGAGTTTGCTCTTAGCACGGACGTCCTTGAGGACAGGCAGGAGGAAATCTAGTGTGTTGCTGCTGCTTTGCCTGATCTCGTGTCCACGCTGATTGCTTTGAGGGAGACCCGGATGCACCAGACATCTCGACTCCTCGATCGTACGCTGAGGCGATCGAAGGTCCCTACTCCTCTCAGTGGCAGTGAGCCGAGATGGCTTCCTGGAAGTCCACAGGCACCTACGTTGACAACGTTCCCCCACCTGGGGCAAACATTGTCAGTGGCATGTGCATTTTCAGGGTGAAGCGGCCGCCGGATTCTCTGCCTGTCTTCAAGGCGCGTTATGTTGCTCGAGGCCTTAGTCAGCGGCAGGGAGTTGACTACTTTCAGACCTTCTCTCCCACCCTGACCACTCTTCGGGTGCTGCTCCACATAGCCGCTCAGCGCGACTACGAGCTTCACTCTCTTGACTTCAGCACAGCTTTCCTGCAGGGCAGCCTGCATGAGGAGATCTGGCTGCGCCGCCCGCCTGGCTTCACTGGGTCGTTTCCCCCTCGTACCTAGTGGAGCCTTTGGCGGCCAGTCTACGGTCTCCGCCAGGCGCCCCGTGAGTGGCACGACACACTGAGGACTACACTTGCGGCTCTTGGGTTTGCTCCTTCGATTGCCGACCCGTCGCTTTTTCTACGCACCGACACCTCTTTGCCGCCGTTCTACATCCTCGTGTACGTCGACGGCTTGGTCTTTGCCACTGCTGACACTGCTGGACTTGCCCACGTGAAGTCCGAGCTGCAGAAGAGACACACGTGCACAGACCTGGGTGAACTACGCAGCTACCTTTTCTTGCAGATCATCTAGGACAGAGCACAGCACACCATTACCCTGACTCAGTCACACATGGTGCAGCAGGTCCTTCAGCGCTTCGACTTCACGTACTCCTCGCCTCAGGCGACTCCTCTGTCTACTCGCCACTCGCTCTCAGCTCTGCCTTCGGATGAGTCCATAGAGCCGAGTGGCCCGTATTCAGAGCTTGTTGGCTGCCTCATGTACCTGATGACCTACACACAACCTGACCTTGCATACCCTCTTAGCATCTTGGCACGCTATGTTGCTCCTGGGAGACACCGACCAGAGCACATGGCTGCGGCGAAGAGGGTGTTGCGCTACTTGTGCAGTACGTGGAGCATGGGGCTAGTGTTTGGAGGGCGACGTCGAGTGGTCCTCACAGGTCACGCAGACGCTTCTTAGGCTGACGACCAGGCTACGCAGCAGTCGTAACAGGGTTACACCTTCAGCCTTGGTTCTGGCTCTGTTTCGTGGCGGTCTACTCACTCGTCTTCTGTTGTCGTCTCCACATGTGAGGCTGAGATCTACGGGGGGGCCATGGCTGCATAGGAGCTACGCTGGCTCACCTACCTGCTGACTGATCTAAGAGAGGCGCCTCGTTCTCCTCCAGTTCTGTACGTAGACAACAAGGCCATGCTGGCCTTATGTCGGGTGTTGGATGCACGTCAGCCTGAGTGCATGTCATCCTAACGTCTTGCCGAGTGCTCATGCTATTTGTGCTTGCATGATTGCATGAGCGTATGTCATTTTGCATGGCTGTTGGATATTATCATCTCTGTGTTTTTTCTCCAAGTCTAAATGCTTGATTATGCAGGAGAAATCCAGAGCTTTCCAACGACACCAAGATCGCCTTATTTCGACCAAGATCGCCCAAGTAACAAGATTTACAAGATTTGGATTTCTTATTGTCTTTTGGGGTTATATCTAATTTGGGTAATTACTTGGGACATGACTATAAAGGGATCTTTGGTTGGGTGGTTAGGAAGGCAACTTTGACTTTTGGATTGGGGTGGCTAGAATTTTCTAGCATGGGTTGCAAATATTGCAACACATTGGCAAAATCCAACTAGATTGGATTTTGCATGTGACACCTCAAGGACCTCATGATGAGGGTTGCATCCTTGCTGCTATGAAGGTTCCTACCATCCTTCCCTAGCTCTTGGAGAACCCCTTCCCTCTCATGGTTCTCTTGGAGGTTCCCAACTCCAACTTTCTATGCCTTAATGCTTGTACTTCCTCCTCCATTCTAGTCATGTGGCTGCTGGACGTTCTTACTTGGTTCTCACTCTATATACCATCTTTACAGCTGATTTAACTTGGAGACGGTAGCTAAGCCTTAGGCGCATTTTCCTAACGAGCAGGTTTGTGTTTAGCTGAGAATTGAGTTCGTCATAAGCTCTCAAAGTGACGGATCCTGAACAACAAGTGGTATCAGAGCGGGTAGTCGACTTTGAGACGACGAATGGTCGTCAATTCTCAACGAATAATGTCGAGTGAGACCATTTTCTAGTAGCTCTTCTTGCAAACGTTCGATTGGTGGTCGAAATGCGTTCTAATCCGAAGTATCTAGTCCGCGACGGCGATTTTCGTTGAATCAAAATTTCTAGCAGAATTCTCTCCAAACGATTTCTCAAGTTTCCACCGTTCATAAGGCCTCAATATGGTTGGTACGAACTGTGGAGGTGCTACTGGCAAGTTGGATAGAAGTAGAGAGGCTTGAGAACTAGGGGGTGCTTGTGGAGGAATGGGGACTCACCAACCAGCCAACCCTACGCTATCACTTCTTCTATACCATCTCCGACTACCGTGGATCCTGTGAAAGCTTTCTCTATTGAGAAATTCATTGGGGAGGACTACGAGCACTGGAGTTTCCGCATGAGGCTGATGTATACTCAATACAAGCTATTGGATTTGTTGGAGGGAAAGGAGAAGATGCCGGAGGCCGCGGAGCTGAAAGGAGCGTGGATGAAGCGATCGTTCGATGCGTACATGCTCATGGTGCAAGCGGTGGGCGGACGGCAACTTGACCACATCAAGGACCTCTTGAGTGATCCAGAGTGTGGCCCCAAGGCTTGGAGGAAGCTTCTGGATATGCACTTACCGACACATGCTACCGACATCGTGCTACTCGCGCGGCGGCTGCGCGACATCAAGTTCGTGATGGAGAGCCGATGCAACCGGTGTTGGATGAGATGCGCGACATCTTCATGAAGCTCCAAGGAGGCGGTGTGGTGTACCCGGAGCTCGTGCCATGCGTGGAGATCGTGATACGGCTGCCGGAGTCATGGTCTGCCCTAGCGATCAACCTCAACTCCCAACAACCCCAATGGAGCGTGGATTACATTCGCGCGCGTATCCTAGAGGAGGACCTGCGGCGGCGGAGTGTGGAGCGCTCGGAGGAGGGGGCTGGCTATGGAGTTGGAGGTGGAAAGAGTGGCTTCAAGAAGAAGTGGAAGGGCAAGAACAAGGATAACCCTAAGGAGGATGGCGGCGGGGGTCAAGGGGAGGTGTGCTTCTACTGCAAGAAGCGCCGACATCGTTGGCGGAAGTGCTACCAACGACCCAACGATTGGACCCCGCCTTCATCAGGCAACCAGCGTGGTGGCACGAGGAGTGGGGGAGTCATGGGAGCTAGTGGAGAGGAGAAGGATGAGGAGAAAGGCGGCAAATCTGAGGTGCGGAAGGCTGGGTTCTTCTTCGCGAACGAAGGCGCAATCCACCACGCTATGGTTGCCAAGGTTCTCCTACACCCCCTCACCCATTGGGTGATTGACTTCGGGAGCTCTTGGCACATGACTCCTCGTGCGGACCTACTCGATGAGATTCAGCCCGCACCAATCTCTACAGTCACATCCACGACGGGCGCCAAGGCCAAGGTCATGGGCATGGGATGCGCCAAGTTCATGGGAGCGGATGGAGAGCTCGTGGGGCTGAAGAACGTGCTGTGGGTGCCGGACTTGTGTGCGAACCTGATTACTACCGGCCGGTTGGGAGATGCGGGTGTGAACACCGAGACGATTGGCTCGGAGCGCTATCGTGCCTACAACGATGAGCGCCTCATTTGAGACTTGCAGTGAAAGGGAGATGTCCACAAGTGGATGTCGCAGATCCCGGTCCTCCCTTGGCGGAAATCGGGCAAGGCGGCAGTGGCAGCATCTATGGAGGAGAGTGTCACCGAGGAGGAGCAACAAGGTGTGCAAGGAGAGGAGCTGATTGGAGGAAGCGCAGTGGAGAAGGCGTCGGCTACCTTGGGCCAAGCGGATTGGGAGACTTGGCATCGGCGGCTCGCACACGTGGCTGTTTCTACATTGGAGGTGATGCACAAGGAGAAGTGCGTGCATGGGCTGCAACTGCAAGGAGATGGCACTCACTATGGCAGCTGCGAGGCGGGCATGCAAAACAAGTTTGCGCGGTTCCTGTTCCCACGAGCGGAGGGATCAGCGAAGGCACCACTGGAGGTGGTGCACATGGACCTGGTGGGTCCTATGAGGACGAATGGTGGACAAATGGAGCCGTTTCACGTGGGCGCATCCCTTGTCCAAGAAGAGCGATGCTGCAGCGGCGATCAAGGAGGATTGGTTGCTGATGGTGGAGCGGCAAGCGATGCGGCTGGTGAAGGTGCTGAGGAGCGACCGAGGTGGAGAGTTCCTTGGAGCGGAATTCACCAATTTCCTCAAGAGAAATGGCATCCAACATCAGCTGACCTGCCCTGGAACACCGCAGCAGAACGGCATTGCTGAGCGTGCCAACCAGACCACTGGCGAGGCGACTAAGACCTTGTTGGGGGCTGCTGGGATGCCTTACAAGTTCTGGCCTGAAGCTGTTCGCCATGTCATCACGGTCAAGAACAGGGTCTTGACGCATGTTTGCAACAAGCACTGGGTGCCGTACGAGCGTTGGCTTGGGAAGAAGCCATCTATTGACATGCTGCGTGTGTGGGGCTGCATGGGGCTTGTGATGGTGCCTAAGGAGCAGAGGCACAAGCTGGAAGTTGCTGCTGTGTGGGCTGTCCATCTTGGGATGGCTCCTGACTCGAAGGGGTGGCTGATGTGGGACCCTAAGAGCAAGAAGTCGCTGGTCAACCGTGACGTCAAGTTTGTGGAGGACGTCATGTACAAGGATTGGCAGCAGCAGCAGCAGGTGCAGATTGGCTTGCGTCTGCAGGACATTGAGCGGTCTACAATGGAGGAGGTTCAGCTGCACCTTGAGGATCTCCCTGGGTCAGAGCTGTCCAGTGACCACAGTGGCGGTGGTGAGCAGCAAGGCGCTGGTTCTGCTGCGGAGGAGGGGTTGGCGGATGAGTCGGCACGTGTGGACTCACCATCTCAGCCCGAGCCTGCTGCAAACGCCAAGGTCACCAAGAGGAGTGTGCAGAGAGGAGCTTCACCACATGGGCAGCAGATTGCAACCCGCGAGAAAAGAGTGGCAGCAGCACCCTCAAGGCTGAAGTATAGCCGTTTGGGAGGACCCAAGCAATGTGCCATGGCAATTCAGACGGATGAGGGAGAGGATGAGGAGATGGCGTTCTGTTTCTTCACACCCTGGCCAGAGTTGTGCAACGGCCCACTGTGGAGCAGTTGGAGGTGGCAAAGCGCTTGGTGCGCTACCTTGGATCAACGGCATCTGCTGGTGTTCAGTTTTCAGTTGGCGGCCAGCTGAAACAGATTGGAGCAGATGGGGTCACGCCTGGTACCTTGAAGCTGTCGTGCTTCACCGACGCCACATGGGCCTCAGAGGATGAGGATCAGTCATCGGTTGGTGGCTTTGTGTGCATGGTCGGAGGTGGACCAGTGAGCTGGAGGTCCAAGAAGCAGAGTGAGATTGCTCAGTCTTCCCGAAAGGCAGAGTACATGGCGATGTACCATGCCATCAAGGAGATTGTGCTCCTGAGGAAGCTGCTGAAGGACATGGGAGCTGAACAGGAGGGACCTACACCACTTTTCTCCGACAGTGAGGCTCCTATTAGCATGGCCAATAATCCGATCCTCAATGGGCTGAACAAGCACATGAAGATTAAGTGGCACTAGGTGAGGCAGATGATGAAGGAGGGAGCTGTTGAGCTTCACCATGTGAAGGCTAGCAAGCAGGCGGCGGATTTTCTCACCGAGAGACTTCCCGAGAGCGCACATTGGAAGAGTGCTAAGATGTGTAGCATGACATTGCACTAGTGAGGGCAGCAGTGTTCTGAATGCATGTGTAATTGTGTGCATGAGACTATGCATGTGTGTGGGTGTGTGTGCATGCAGTCCGTTAGTCTGAGGGGGAGTTTGTTGGATGCACGTCATTCTGAGTGCATGTCATCCTAACGTCCTGCCGAGTGCTCGTGCTATTTGTGCTTGCATGATTTGCATGAGCGTATGTCATTGTACATGGCTGTTGGATATTATCATCTCTGTGTTTTTTCTCGAAGTATAAATGCTTGATCATTCAGGAGAAATCCAGAGCTTTCCAACGACACCAAGATCGCCTTATTCCCACCAAGATCGCCCAAGTTACAAGATTTCCAAGATTTGGATTTCTTATTACCTTTTGAGGTTATATCTAATTTGGGTGATTACTTGGGACATGACTATAAAGGGATCTTTGGTTGGGTGGTTAGGAAGGCAACTTTGACTTTTGGATTGGGATGGCTAGAAGTTTCTAGCATGGGTTGCAAATGTTGCAACACCTAGGCAAAATCCAACTAGATTGGATTTTGCATGTGACACCTCAAGGACCTCATGATGAGGGTTGCATCCTTGCTGCTAGGAAGGTTCCTACCATCCTTCCCTAGCTCTTGGAGAACCCCTTCCCTCTCATGGTTCTCTTGGAGGTTCCCAACTCCAACTTTCTATGCCTTAATGCTTGTACTTCCTCCTCCATTCTAGTCATGCGGTTGCTGGACGTTTTTACTTGATTCTCACTCTATAGACCATCTTAACAACTTATTCAACTTGGAGATGGTACCGAAGCCTTAAGCGCAACTTCCTACTGAGCGGATTTGCGTTTAGTTGAATAATGAGTTCGTCGTAAGCTCTCAAAGTGATGGATCATGAACAACATCGGGAGCACAGACTGGAGCACAGAACGAAGCACATTGCTCTTCGCTACTTCGTTGCTCATGAGGTGCAGCAGCGTGGTCAGCTATGCCTTGCTTACATGGCCTCTGAGGCCAACACTGCTGATATCTTTACCAAGGCGCTTCCGCCTTGTGATCATCAGCGCTTTTGTACGTTGCTAGGTCTTGTGCCTACTTGGCCTCACTAGTTCTTGACCTTGTACTGTGATCTTTTTTATACTTGCACTTGCTTGTTTACCTATATATGTATGATCTTGCATGTGAACTGGCCTTTTGGCCTTGCTCTTGTGCTCGGACCGTGTGGTGACGTTGTGATCCACCCTAAGCTTGCTTTGCTTTGCTTGACTGGTCTTGTAACCTCTTGTTCTCCCCTAATTTGCCTATGGGGGTGTGTCAAACTCTTATACTATACTCTGTGTAGGCTGTAGTGGGGTAGACCATATGGGGTACAACACTTCTAGGTTTTCCTACTTGTACCCAACTGCTTGCTAGTTCATTCATTCCTCATTCTTCACAGTGATCCACCATGAGCTTGTTTTGTTTTGCTTGACTGGTCTTGTGACCTCTTGTTTTCCCCCACTTTGCCTATGGGGGTGTGTCAAACTTATATGCTATAGTCTGTGTAGGGTGTAGTGAGGTAGACTATGAAGGGTACAACATTTCTAGGTTTCCCTAATTGTACCCACCTGCTTGCTAGTTCATTCATTCCTCATTTCTTCTCATTAGAAATATTCATTTATGTTTTCATTATATAAAGAATATAAAATCCAAAGTCTTATTGGTACAAAAAAGTCTATGAGTAAAACTTTTTTTACAAGATAGTAAATGATTGTTCAGAATACATACACAATGATCTGCTAGTCTCAAAAACGACATGTTCGAATTGTAAGGAATATAGGATAAGAGAAGCAAAAAAATTCGAATCATGAAGATATTATCCTTCAGGTTTTCTGTGTTAATGATTTGAACAAACTGTTAGTAGATCTGCACTGTGGATGCCTGATTGATCATGGAGAGGGTTACAGACGCGTTCACCTGGGGGGTTATAGGCGCACTGGCCCGTTACTGAAATAAGCCCTTTTATCCTAATGGTCTAGTGGTTGGGATTCTGACATGGTATCAGAGCTGTCTCGGGTTCGATTCCCGGTGTATGTACATGTAGGCCGTTGCCGCTGTGCTTAGTCCTGGGCCTCGCAGTATGTGGGGGTGTCTGTAGATCTGCACTGTGGATGCCCGATTGATCATGGAGAGGGTTACACGCGCGTTCGCCTGGAAGGTTATGGGCGCACAAAGGCTCTACTGAAATAAGCCCTTTTATCCTAATTGTCTAGTGGTTGGGATTCTGACACAAACCACCATACCTCTACCTCGCGTGCGAATCAAACGACAATTTTCACATATCTTTCGAACTGAAGCGCGTACTTTCATATTTTTATCATCTCCACAAATTTTTCTATTTTTATATTATAAGAAGAATATGAATATCAAATATATACATTAGTATGAAACAAATCAGAAATGTTGATATGTTTTAGTATTCGAGTTATGTAGTAATTTTGATTGAATAAACTTTCATGAAGATTTTTATGAATTCTAAAAAGAATAATACGTAAAAAATATGATTTTTAGCAAAGTGAACCATGAGGAGATTTTGTACGAATTCATAACCCGAAATAGAAAACCAAAACAAACGCAAATCAAACAAAATAGAATCCTGCCAATACTTCTCTTATTACTGTGACAATAAGAACGAGGAATGAATGAACGAGCAAGTACATAGGTGCAAGTAGCAAAACCTAAAATTGTCGCACCCTATATTGCCTACCCCACTACAGCCTAGACAGACTATAGCATATAAGTTTGACACCCCCCCATATGCAAATTGGGGGAGAACAAGAGGTCTCAAGACCAGTCAAGCGAAGCAAGCAAGCTCAGGGTGGATCACTGTTGGGTGCAAATTCACATTGCACGACATCCTGCCACTTTGTATGAGTATGCGTGTGCGAATGCATTTGGGTGTGAATGGAATGTTGGTGTGTTTGTTTGCTTTCGCAATTTTCGCTTGAAGCATTTGCAGGTACTCGCGCATTATGCGCTTCAGCACAACATTGTACGCGCTATGAACAGTACAAGCAGAAAGGACGAGCTCGCAAAGGAACCCAAGATGGAAGCTTTGCGGTTCGGTTGAATTGATTGTTCAGATTCAGTTTTATCGAACTCGAAATTGTACTGTTTTGTTTGGTTGACTATAGTGTAGCAGGGCAGGCACTATAGAGGTACAATTTAGGTGAAGGTTGGATGTTGTTTGTCTGTATCTGCATGCTACAGGGCCAGGGGAAACCAGCGGAACCAGCATTTGGCTGGTTGGGCAAAGACAAAACAGGTTCTGTTTTTAGGACCTGAACCTGGTTGTTGTTTTCCCAGGTTGGAAAAACAGAACCAGAGGTTGTTCACCAACCTATCACCTGCTATTTTGTCCAGCCAGGTTGGTTCTGTTGCTTGGAATTATTTGGGATCATCCCTGGTTGTTCCCAGGTTGATTCCCAAGGTCCTTGCTAGCTAGAGCTATTTATTCCTTCTCTGTTTGTACCTGAATATAGTGAAATTGATTCAAGCGAATTCCTTCCTTGCTGGAATTTCTTTTCTACGCGGTGCGACGGCGGAATGCTATCCGAGTCAACGCTAGTATGCTAGCACTCCAACGCTAGGCTAACGCTGTCCGATCCATTACTTCATACTGGCAGAACTTTTCGCGAGGCAACTTGGCTTATTTTAAAGCTCTTAGAGTGAGCTTCGATATAGGAAATTCTCAGCTTAATCCGATCGACGGTCTGCACGATACGCAGCGCGACGTTCAAGGTACTCTTGCTGTTTTGACTAAGTCCCTCTTGATCCTTCTCTCTACAAACTGGGACCCGAGGATAGGGGCTGGTCTTGTACCAGGCACCCAAGTCTTAATAGCTTGAGTTTATTAGGCCCTTACACCAACAAGCTGGTATCAGAGCTGCGTTATAGTGATCCTCGTTATAGGTAGCTATGGCGGGCAACACCTCGGCGGTAGCTGGTGAATCTTCAGCCCAAGATCGTAGTGGCAGCCAAGATTCTGGTGTTTCTGCTCCAAGGGGAGCGCGAACAAGCCAGAGCTCGCAGATCAAGGAGGTGCTGAAAAACTTCACTGTCGAGAAGTTCAATGGTAAGGGCTATGATGATTGGGCCTGGAAAATGCAACTTTATTTCCGTCAGATCGGTTTGCTGAAACTAATGATTGGGGAGGAGCCTAGACCGAGTGACCCCGCCCTTCAGGAAGATTGGGACGAGCGCGCCTCGGCTGGCTACCACTTGATGTCGCAGAGTTTGCTGCTGAACCAGCGTCACCACGTCATCCACCTACTGCCGGATGTTGAGTGCGGTCCGAAGGCATGGACCGTGCTGAAGGAGCTGCACGCCCCGACCTCCATTGTTGCAACATTGATGTTGGAGAGGGAGCTGTCTGCGTTGCGCCTGAGCGAGGGAGAGCCGGTGCAACCTGTCCTGGACAAATTGCGCGACCTCTACGCGAAGTTGGTGACCGCGGGAATCACCTACCCGGAGCAGACCAAGT